TATCCCGTTGTCTTGGGCCTTCTGGGGACGTTCGTTCCCATGGGGCTTGCCTCCTGTTTCCTACTGGACCCGAAGTCCTGCGAGACGTGTGTCTCGTTCTGCTCCTGGGCCAAGGTACCTGCCTATGCTAGGATACGTACGTCCCCTGGATGATGGGGAAGGGTATCCCGATGTCTTGGGCCTTCTGGGGACGTTCGTCCCCATGGGGCTTGCCTCCTGTTTCCTGCTGGGCCAAGTCCTTCGAGACGTGCGTCTACCCCTGCCCCTGGGTCAAGGCACCTGCCTATGCCATGATACGAACGTCCCCTGGGCTTGGCCCCGTTGGGGACGAACCTCTCCAAGATAATGGAGGGCCAACCAGTTGTCTTGGGCCTTCTGTAGACGTTCGTCACCATGGGGCTTGCCCCCTGTTTCCTGTTGGGCCAAATCCTTCGAGACGTGCGTCAACCACTGCCCCTGGATCAAGGCACCTGCCTATGCCATGATACGTACGTCCCCTGGGCTTGGCCCCGTTGGGGACGAACCTCTCTAGGATAATGGGGGCTAACCAGTTGTTTTGGGCCTTCTGGGGACGTCCGTAGGGTGGGCCTTTAAGGGTTTATAGCCCAAGCCCCATTGGGCCATTAACCCAACACAAGTCCTCCACTTCTGATATTCTGAACGTGCGCGGGGCATAAGGAAGTAGAATTGAATCTGATGTACGTCGTCAGCTAACACCCTTGGCGCCTCCCAAGTTAATGAGCCATTCCGTGTCTCCTGACGTACGTCCCCTGAGATGGGCCTTGGAATGCAGTTATCTTCTTTCCGGGTTCAATGCCTTGGGGCCGAATGTCCCTATTGATTATTTAGTTTTGTTGATGACTAACCCTAAACAGAAAAGAACACTATCCTTGGGTCCAAAACAATGATAACTAACCATGCAGGAACCCTTTGGATAGAACTACCATATGTTCTACTAGGAACAAACTTGATATGCGTTATTGTCATGCTTAATAAACTGTAATGTATACGTAACACATATTACATGCATTGAGGCTAAAAGCTTTGACATTATAAGTTATGCCTGCATTGGTATAATGTATACATGGCATAGTGTACATGCGTTAATACTATAAATTTGGCTGTCACATAATATGGGTAGTATAATTAACTTACCCCCTTTTCGTAATAGTTGACCGATCCATGTTTATCTTGGAATATTTTATTACCCATGATTTTGATCTAAAAGAAAGAATATTTTATTACTATATACACTATAGAACGTTGCATGATTGACAAGTTAATTACTTCCTTCTATATTACTGTATTGTGTATGATTGTCATAAGCAATAAACCAGAATCCACATAGAAGGAAAATGATTCAAAAATATCAAGGCAAGTCCATAAATTCACCTAAGCAACCAACTAAGGAAAGAGGATCAACGGACGGCCTGCATGAAGATATATACTATCCTCCGTTCCATAAAAGTTGCAACAGTTTGACTTTCACGTTTGCCAACGCGTAACTTTGACTGTAATTATATTTATTTACGTATCAGTAAACATAAAAAAAGTTAATATATTGGAAATTTACACTAATACAAATTTATTAATATTTTATACATAATATTTTTATTATATATATTATTAGAAAATCGTAGTCAAAGTAAGGTGTGTGAATAGTGCAGAAATTCCAATGTTGCAACTTTTATGGAACGGATCGGAGGAAGTATAAAGGACCGAAGACCACAAGAATAGGCGTGCTTGAGTGAGTAATCAAAAGGAGAAAGAGTTGTAAAGGGTTCTCGAGTTCAAGGCACCTGAACCTACACACGGAGTTCTAGATAGAGTTTATTTTCCTTTCTTTATCTTGTAATTTGGTTTCGAGGAATAGCTAAGAGTAGCTTCCTCGATTTGTGATCGTGTGTGTGAGAGCTTTGTTGTAAAGCTGAGAGGCTCTCTACCCGCAAGGTAGAGAAGCATAACTCTTCCTAGAGAGGATAGAGTTGGGGTGACTCAAGGGTAGATTAGGAGGATTTACCTTGTAACCCTTTTGGCTATTTAGTGAAGTTGTTCAAATTCCTCCAAGGGACGTCGAGGTTTTTTAATCCCTATGAACCAAGGGATTTTTCCTCGTTAAATTCTTGTGTTCTTATTATTTTGCATTTCCCTTCACCCACACTAGAACTGTGCGAGAAACTGCCACAGTTCCACATAAACACAATTCATCCCCCTCTTGTGTTACTAACCGTTTCATCAGTCCCCTATGGAGACAACCCTCTTCTCTTCATTGACCGTTTCCAGGGGGTCTCACCAGAAGGCTTGGGCTTAGGGGACGACCGTTCGGTGGATTTTGAAGTAAAACTGCTTCCGCCGTGCTGCCTTTAGCCGACGCCCCTGATGCGTCGGTTGCCTGCTATATTCTGGATCTCCGAACGTCTTGCTTTCTTTATTCACTGGATCTCCGTACCTAACCGTCTATGTGAACGGGCCTTGGCGGCCCGTTGGGGACGTACGTCCTCCTGTATATATTGAGGGTATTCTTTGTTTAATTCTTTGTTATAACTATCTTAATTAGCTATCTTTTTCAATATTCTTTTCTTTATTTTACTAATAAAATACTATGTATATTTTAAATACTCCGTTTAATTTTCACACTTCTGCGGATTTGGTGAATTGAACAATTTTAGTAAAAATTCCACCATCTTCTACATATTTAGGCAATTTATAAATCATTTTTAGTGTCGGTGGGCGAAGCTCAGCTGGTAGATGAGGGGTGTCATAAGGGGTAAGTCTCGGGTTCGAATTATGGCAACTGCGATATGATGAGAGATTAAAATGAAAAATGAATAAGACTTATGCAAGTGCTTAAGTCAGAGACTCAATCGCTTTCTATCAACTTCTGATCAAAGTTCAATTTAAATCATCCTAATTAATTGTCCTACTCATTTTAGGACCATGAAGGATAGAGTGTCATCTTTTTTTTATGAATTTTAGTGCTCCAAACATCCTCTAAGCTATTAGGCAGCCACATCTTTCAACAACGTTTCTTGACATAGATGTCTTTTTCTTAAAGAAGAATAAAAAATAAAATGAGACGCGCGGCAATAACAAAAGAGTAATCATTAGCCCATCTTTCTATCAGAATAATGAAATACACACAACCCGCACAAGTAGCTCAGTTAGTCGAGTTGTGGAAGATTTGGAACAATGGACCAAGGTTCGAATCCCCGCAGTGACCGGGTGGAGGTCACAGAACCTGAAATAAGGCTGGGCCTCTGGTGCGCACGGGTGTATGGGTCTACTAACATTCTGCTGACTGAATCACCGTGACTAACCTCCCCACCATCTTGTCGGGTCGGGACGGGGGCTCCTGGAGTGGGAGATTCCACCTTTTTGGAACAATGAAATATACACGCAACAATAAAACAAGAAAAGCAAGGCGTAAAAATGATTTCCAGCCCTCATAAATAATGGGCGTTGCGTTTATTTTGTAGCAGCACGTACAGCCGATGCGGTCACTCCGTTAAAGGCCTAAATTAAAGGAGGTATACATTTATTGGATTCACACAACTAAAGCAAGGGAGGTAACGGAGGTTAGTATATGTGTTAATTAAAATAATAATAATGACAATGCTGTATATTTAAAGCTACGTATTTATACGTTACTCGAGCCGTATATATCTAAAGCTTTCCCCGCCGCCCCTCAAAAAATACAGTAAAAACAACAACTCACGGAAAGAAGCTCGACATCTTTAATTTGGGCATCCTCATGCATGCGCATCAGTAAATTCAATTCTCAGCTCCAATTAATTAGTTTGTGTAAATTAATTTTTTCAATATTTTCCTCAGCTCGAAGCCAAATTAATGTAATTCTGTAAATAGAATAAAATACACACACACATAAAATGCACAAATGGAATCACGGAGTGTCATTTTGTCTTAAACTATATATGACTCATTTATTTACTACTACCCCCGTTCTTAAATAAATTCAACACTTTGACTTTTACACTATTCACATGTTCTACTTTGACTACGTTTTATTTATTAATGTAATAATATTATTTTATGAAAAAAATATTATTAAACTTGTCTCATTGTAAATTTTCATAATCTAATTTTTTAATTTTTTTTACTAATACAAAATCATTTAAATTAATGGTCAAAGTTGTGTCTCTGCAAGTGTGAAATGTTGACCGTTGCATTTATTTAAGAACGGAGGAAGTACAACCAAATAATTAGTCATATTTTGAGAATAAGACACATATATTATTTAAATTCAATTCTCAGCTCCACCAAATTAATTTAATTCCCTAAATAGGATTAAAACATATGCACAATGCACAACACAACCATCATTATTTCCCTTTTAATTAAAATAGAACTTATTTACTCATAATTGAAGATGCTTTATTCTTTAATTTTAATATGACCAAATAAGTCATATTTTGAGAATAAGAATGTTTTTAACCGGACTAAAATTTTCTGATCTAATCTGGTCTGATTTGTTTAAATCTGGTCTGGTAAATGTATGATCTCTGACTTTCTGTGTATTTTATAACTGACGGAGTCTGGTCGATCTGGTCTAATCTGTTTAAGTCTAATATGGTCTTTGTGTGTAATTAGGTCTGATTTGGTGTGGCTTCAGACTATACCCAAAACAGTTCAAATAAAAATATGGTGAATCGTAACTGTTTCTATTTGTACACTTTAATGTGGGCAATTTCTTTAAATTTAGTAAAGATGACTAAAGCACGTGAATGGGAGAGATTAGATATATGCATGATCGCCATGCATAGATAATTAGATATAATGATAGATGTGCCTTTAGCTTTAGTCACGATTACCCGCCCGGCCTCTTTCATGTGATCATTATCTTCCTCCTCACACTCTTGCCGCTTGTGATTGGAATCAATTCATCTCATCGCTAGCTCCAACTCCGGCCACTAGCTAGCTTCATCATTACCATTATATATATATATGCAACCTAAGTTTGCCCTTTAATTATATTCTTCAACGTATTCCGTTTATGATATACGTATATATATACTATATATTCGAGTAGCTTACAGCAAATCATTAATAATACGCACACTTATTATATATTTAGTTTAAAACATACCCTACATATATATATATAATCAATCGAGTTCGATCGAATAGCATTAGTAGCTGAAAGTGGTAGTACGTTTTCGTCATGAAGGGTGTTTGGAGTTGCAATAGCACTATTCTCATAATTCTCCTTTTCCTCCTTCCATTTGTGATGCCTGCTCGGCGCATCGGTAAGCTAAGCTCAACCACCTATCATTCTACTCCTTAATTATAAGACTGCTATTTTTTCTTTTCAAATTATAAGTAACATGATACTCTAATATTTATTGCCATTTTAGAGCCATTATTTAGTGCTTGTGTACCTGACATACTTGCTTGTGTATAAATTTCAGACCAGAGATACGAGACATCATCACAAACACAGGTTGCCGGCGAGAGGGAGGAGGCCGGCGGGAGGTGGTCGGAAAATGGTGGGGAGGCGGCGGAAGGAATGGAAAGTAAGAAGATGAGGGCGGTGGAAGAAAGAGGAGATGAATATTATCATAAGAGGGCTGCGCTGCCAATCGCGGCGGCGGGTTCGCGGTTGCCGGACTGCTCGCACGCATGTGGATCGTGTCACCCATGTAAGCTGGTGCTGGTGAGTTATGTGTGCTCCAGCACTCAAGAAGCCGAGACTTGCCCTATGGCCTACAGATGCATGTGTGACAACAAGTCTTATCCCGTTCCTTAATCTTATATAAATGTATGTTCATTATTATTAATTAATTGATTAGGAGTTAATCAGTTGAAACATTTTGCAGCCGCTAGCTAGCTCATCTTATTTAATTCCGTAGTTGTTTTTTTAGGTTCCTTGATGTTGGATCAACCTAATTAGCTTACTGTACTCTACTACGACATATTCTAAATATGTATCATGTGGTGATAGTATTTTGAAGATTGTTATGTGTTAAGTCTCACACCAGAAATCTTTAAAGAATCAAAGTGTTAGATTATTAGATTAAGATCTGAGCTACTCTTTCTATAAGGTTAATCTTTTAGTACATGCACTTATATGAACCCGATCCTGAATTACATTCAAACCAATATGTATAACCATATTGCATGTAAATAATTGCTTTCACCAACTCCAACCCCATCTAATTAATAGTGCAAAATTTGCAATTTACAGCTAAAGTTAGTTGAATATGTCTACATGATCAATTTAGTTAGTTTGAAAGGTTGAATTTGGAGCCAAGTGACGAGCGCTCAAATAAACATCAAGAATGCGCTTTTCAAATTAAAGTGAGAGACGATGAAAATGCTTAGAAGTAATGATCAACACATGCATGAGCACAAATAAAAAATCTGGATTTAAATACACAACTAGTACGGTACCCGTGCATACGCACGGGAAAATAATCCATGAATATATTTGTAATCATGATCTAATTAATTACAATAGGAAACTAATTTCAAAAATTTGGCATTGTTCTTAAAAGCGAGTACAATAAGTCAATATCATAAAGTGTAAATTGTACGTTAATAAAATAAATATTATAAGTAACATATTAAACTTACGTGTTAGAGATTTTGGAAAACCTCTTTGAATTCAACATTCGTAGTAGTGTTTAATGATTTTCCTTCCGTATCATGTATTAAAATCTTCAATGCATGTTTGCTCTGAACTCTCGATAATGCCATATACAATTGTCCATGACTAAAAACGGGTCTAGGCAGTTATAATCCAACTCTTTCCAATGATTGTCCTTGAGATTTATTGATTGTCATCGCATATGACACCATTATAGGAAACTGTCTTCTGATAAGTTTAAAAGGCCATGGTGATTGGGACATACACATTCGAGGTATGTAAATCTCATCTCCACCATAGCTTTCAGGCATGAATCTTGCTCCAATGACATGATTTCCAAGTTTTGTGACAATCAATCTAGTTCCATTACATAGTCTTTCTGACTGGTCTATATTTTTTAACAACATTACTGGAGTCACAACCTTAAGTCGTACCTTGTGATTTGGGAGACCTCATGTTTTCAAGGAATTTAGAAACTCTAATGTCAACGCTTCAAATGTTTCTGCTTCAACTACATCCGACTTGTCTATAGAATCGCAACTTAAATATTTCTTTCTTCACTTGTAGTTATAAAGTTCAATAGTCTTAATTTAATTATTAAATTTGTTTAAGATTTTATTTTGCAAGTAAATACGCAAAGTAGCATTTTTATAATATTATTACCTCCGGGAGCATTGAAAGAAGATAGTCGTTAATTTTATCGACATTTTCAATAGTCGATGTCAAGATAGCTCTACACTTGAGAAATTCCTCATTTTTGTATTGCTCCACCAAGTTAGGGTATGTACTTTGGATTATTGCATCTATTGGATTATCAAATTCTTTAATAAAGAATTCATGTGGAATTCTTATTTCTGCATAACCATCATTTGGCTCTGATATTTTTCCATCCCCTACATCCAATATCCATTTTGAAAATTCTTTGAGCTCATTAGCACTTGTCATATTCAAACTATTTTAGAGTCACATATTTTTAGTAAGAGACAGTACCTATGAATAAACAAAAATAGTAAGTACTTATATTTTAGTATAACTTATAAAGTAATTACTCCAAAAAAAACTTATAAAGCGATTAGGCGATATATTTAAATAACTAATATAATTAGTGATACTTTGTTTAAGCTAAAAGCGAACGAATGAACAATTTTTTAAAGTTTTATAGGTTAGTTATTTTGGTGTATTGTGTTAATATTGAGTTTTCTAAATTATCATAAAAGAAAACATATTAGTTATGGTATTGAAAAATGGAGTTTAATACCTGACAGTCTTCCCATAGATACGAAGAATTAATTGTAGCATTAACAATGTCTGAACGACTTCCTCTAGTAATAACTGGCAAAGTTTGTCTAAAGTCTCCTCCAAATACAATCACTCTTCCTCCGAATGAAGAAATAGAATCACCATCATTATTGATGATGTCATTTATGCTTCCGTCCAATGCTTCAAAACAAAATTTGTGAGCCATTGTTGCTTCATCCCATATTATCAACATAGTCTATTTCAATAGCTCTGCAAGTTCACTCCCTTGATGTATATTGCATGTAGAGTTATCTAGAGTAGGATCTGGGATTGAAAATTTAGAGTGTGCAGTTCTGCCTCTAGGTAAGAGTAGAGAAGCTATACCACTTGATGTGACAGTTATTTTAGAGTGTGCAGTTATGCTACTTGAAAAGAGTAACAAAGATCTGCTAAACTAATCATATATACTCTATGTTCTCTATTTGAATTCCAATATAAGGTGAATCGAATTTAGGGTGATACTTTTTATGACAAATCTTGTTGGTAGGGTAAACACTATGAATAACTTGTCATATTAGAAATAATAAGTGAAAAGTTGATTCTTAACTGATTTGTGTACCTGGGATGCTCGAGAGCCTCCGTTGTTGATACAAAATTCCATCTGCCAAGCACTGCCAAGTTTGTTGCAATACATGCTAAGGTCTGCTCACGGGACACAATAAAAGCAGAGTTACAAATAATTTTATTAAGTAGTGCCCTGATGCCCAATCCTTAACTTCTTTTAATGCTCCAATATATTCTTTATCATCACCAAGCAACCCCGCTTCAAAACACGCTTCTCTAAAGCTTAGGTATTGAATGTTGGCAACCGTCCTAATATCCTCATAACAACGTGGCCCTTTTGTTACAGTGAGCATCATTCTTAAATAGAACAGTTCACCTGTTGTAGGAGGTACCCAGATGAGTCTACCAATAGTGTAACCATTTGTTCGTGGCTTCCAACACCTCTTGCTAGCTACATACACAAAACATGAAACGAACTTTGCATAGGTCAAATCTTTTCCTTCCATATAGATTTTTCTTTTCTTGTTAGCACGGACTCAAGGTCATCGTTGTCACTAAAGAACACAGATTGCTCATTGGGAAGGTGAAAGAAAAGTCTTTCAACAGATGGAGATTGTATTTTTTCTTTTGACTTTGATATGTATCGATTAATGTTAGATGATCCTTAAAAATTATGGGGTTAAAAGTTAAATGTTGGTGGATGATGTTGTAGTGACTATAAATTGAAGACAAACGATTTGACGTTGCTCTAACTATTGTTATTATGGGGAAACAAATTAAGATTACAAAATACAAATAGATGGATACTATGCGCTTATAAAATGTATATTTAAACTTGTGGCAGAGGAATTATAAATGACATGTAAGCTTATTTTAAATAATTTCTGGTCTTGTATTAAACCTTTCTATCTTCCTTTTTTTAATAGACCGTGAAATTATCAGGCTCATTTTTTGTATGAATAAAATAATTTTAAAATAAAAAATGAAATCAATTATCGAAGTACATCGAAACATTGTAGATGTAAAATTTTAGTATCAGGTTCCCTTAAAAAGTAAGTGATAAAAAGCCTATTATAATACTAACGTATATTTAAGATATTATTTACATTATGAATTTTTAGTAGTAAGCATGGTTGTATAACAATATATTGACAGTCTATTTTTAGTAGTAAACATGGTAAAATCATACCTATGGTTGTTTTCAGTCAATTTAATAAGAAAATAACTCCAACCTCTTAATTATTCATCTGCCCCTTTTACTCTCTTTTAGTACTTTTAAAGTGATCTCAATTTGTAGATGTTAATATAGTCATATTAAGATGTTTGTGAGGGATGTTAAGCACAATAATATATTCAACTTTAAGCTTCTGAGTTGTCAAAACCCAAGTAAAAGTATAATAATAAATTACTTTTTTGAACAAAATAATAAATAAATATTAAAAACAGTGTCACTTCGTAATTTATTTTCAAACGGTAAACAAAAGACTTAATTTAAAAAAAAAAGCAATAGGTGGCTTAGGAATGTGCCCATGCCCATCTAACAAACTTATTTTTGTTTACTCTTTCTTTATGTGCTTTCTTTATGTGCTTTTGAATCCTTGTTGCTGAAAACTGTGTAGCTACATCTTGGGTTTGGAGGTCGTCAAACTGCTTCTCCATTGATCTTTTGCAAGGTGTAATAGAAGGTGATGAGACATCGGGATCATGATCCTCTCTAGTAGACATAGATTCATGTACAAATATGTGAACAACAATTCAGCATAATTAATATTATCAAATAAAATATGAATTATTAAAGTGTGGTATGACACTTAGACTTACACTTTCACATTGAACATGCCTGTCAAGAACAGATCCTCCATTAGTATCATTGGTCTTTTCCTAATTAAATAAAATTTATTATTAATATTAACAACAATATCCTAAAGATCAGAATATTAGCATGCCATTGGGTTTTTGATTCAATGATTTCTAGTATAATAAATTAACAATGTTCAAAGGGCCGTAAGAGTGAAGATGTTATACTTGACATGTTGTTCATAGAAAAAAAAAGCAAGTCAAAGAAATAGATAGAAATTAGGTGTATTGCTATCGTACTTTAGCTAAATAAACTGATTTATTACACATGTGATGAGCATAGGGAACGGGGAGGGCCAAAAAAGAAGTGGTTGAGAATCACTGCTATAAAGTACTCATAGCAACACAAATTAAGGTCTTTACTTTGGTGTGTATCTTCCACTTTTTGCTATAAAAGAAGGTAGACAAAAGAAATAAAGTATGAGAATGAGTATATAAGCTACTTAAAGCAACATTATTTAATAATGTTGATCATGATCTTAAAGAAGGATATGTAGAAGTGCAAATAAAGGAAGCAAATGAAACAAATAAAGTATGAGCATGACTGCTATAAGTGACGTTTTTAATAGTTTGTTCCAGAACACACTCTTTCTTCATTTAAAGACAATGAGAAACAAATCCGGTACACTGCTTGAAGCAGCAGAAATGTTCAATAGAATTAGTATCTCAGGTTATATAATAGCTACATATAGCACTGCCTCAATAAATTAAAATAAACCCACAAAGCTAATTCCTAACTACTTACTTAGACTATGGTTGCAGCAAAAGATA